ATATATGTGCATCATCCACCGTCGAGAAGCATTTCGTCACTGCGGCGTTGACTCAGGCTCGTCTCGCGCAGCGCTGCGGTACGCCAGAAGAACCGGGACCACAACGCCCTGGCCCCAAACTTCGACAGCACTAAACAACGCCACCTAAAGTGCCCAAGCTCTTCGCCTAGGGTTCCTGGCGACGGCACGCAGTCCGAATGAGCCGTACGAAGTATTGTGTGGCACGTTGCTGGCGCTGCTTCAGGGGCAGGCCGAATTCAGCGATAAGATTCTTGCGTTGTGAAAGCTGGCAAACCCGCTGGTTAGAAAGGTGCTTTTCGCACATGAGTTGGGCAAGAAATGCAGCTGTAGCACTTTGGCGGTTATAGTTATTGCCCAAAGAATGCTCCATTGCTTTCTCACACCGGTACAGGGTATGACACTTCCCCAGACCTCTTGGCCATCAAAGCACTCCCATCAGCAGCAGCTTACGCTCTGAGCATTGCACCACAGGGTTCAACCTCGCCGCCACAGGAGAAACTGGAAGGATGAACTGCTGAACTGTGCGGTAATGCGGCTTCGTTATGCCCGATGCCGCCCGCTGACGCTATGCCGTACAGCGAAAAGTACGAAGTACCGGTAGCGTTCTCAACTTGCCATGCTCCGCACCAGGGGTCCGGCTCAAGCAGCGGCGGGCCTGCGTTCGTCGATCTGGCGCGGCTTGATTGACAGCTTGAACGGCCTGTACGCCCAAGTCCCAATCGTCATGTACATACATACCAACAAGAACCAGACACAGCTCTACTAGCAGTGCCGATGGCCTACGCCAACAAGTAGACGTAGTATTACGGCACTCGCATGGGAGTCGTAAGTACCTTAGTCAACGGTACGACTGGTGGAGCGGGTAGGTATTTGCGTGCGTACGAGTACAGGAAGCATCCGCCAAGGTCTGGAGTAGGAAATCATGCCCCATGAAAAACCTCGCGGGTGATGCGGAGCGTGGAGAACAAGGACCAGACACTGTTGGTGATGGGGAGGTCAATCCTAGCATCGGTCACACCGTCAGCTGTAGTGACTCCCAAACTCTTGAGTAACGAGGTGAGAGATATAAACAAACGCCAATTCATTGCCGCCAGAACGAGCGGAGAAAGAACTCAACACACCGAGGCGTAAGTATTGATCAGGTCTGTGACTCGGTATCACTCCGTACGAAAATGCCTGTCGACGCAATCCGACCTCCACACTCGATGCGTCCACGAGCCTTGCACGTGGATTTGGCAAGGGACATATGCCAGGAGAAGAATGAGACGTTAGTGCCTCTGACTCGACCCTGAAGCAGTTCGCTTCTGCACAGCCAGGGAGTTGCCCCGCTGGGAAGCAGGGGATCATGAATTCTAGGCTGGGCCTCAGAGTCTTGACAGCCACAATGGGTTAATGAAACCTCAAAGCCGGAATTAGGCTTGACGGGGGATTCAGAACAGGAAATGAGAAGAATCGAAGCGGGGCGGGGCGGCGGTTTGGTCACCAAGTTTATCATCTGTGGAAGAGCTGAGGCGATGTCGTCACTATCCCGGGAGAGGAGGGATCTGCCATGTATGTAGACACATGCAGGGCCTCTCTATGTACTCGTATGTATAATTGATAAATGATGCATGACAAATGCCATATTGAGGTCGGCCCAGGAGCATCTTCGAAAGTTCCCACTCAGTGTAGTATGCCGGTGATACGGAGACTGTCGGACGAGAGGGGAGCTCGGGTTGTCGGTCCAGAGGGCCTCCGTGGATATCGAACTTCGCGGGCAGGCAAAGCAGCCAGGCAGGACATCATGCTGGAGCACCGGGATGAGCTTCTCCCCGCGTTGGCATGCATGCATGCATGCTGTTGGAGAGCCGCCCCTTACTCGTACGAAGTAGAGACCTCCAGGTCTAGTGCGATATGCGTGTCAGAGCACGAGGCCGCTGTTGACGACTGAACCTAGAAGACTGGGGATGTGAACGCTTGGTCAGAATCTCACTGCGATGAATCACATTCAGACATATGAAGTGACATGATGATCAGGTGCCTTGAAATCTGCACACTGCTTGTACATGTAATAGTACTCGGAGGTTGGTAAATGCTGGATTAGCTCCTTGATCCGTAAATCGATTCAGTATTACTACTCCGTAGTAGCTTTCCTTACACGTAGAATATGAGACATACAGTCATCTTGTATGCGGCTCAGTAGTATGGTACTACTAGCAGCTGTCTCGGAGCATGTCTGTGGCTGGGGGTGAACCACATGAACGGGACGTCCGTGTATGGACAAGGCTGGTCTGGGTGAAATAACTGAAACCACGGGCGGAACAACCATGCTCTGTTCGCATTTCGAAGCAAGAAAAAAAGGTCTTTGGAAAAGGCTCTTATCTCTCGACTAGCAGTGATGAAGTAGGCAAGTTCCTCAGTATTTGGAATATGATATTGAGGCAGTCCGTGGTCTTCACTCCCAGCTGAAGGAGTGCCTTGTACGTACTTCGGACGAAGTGCCAGACCATGGCGTTCGAACTTGCGAATGGCGACGACAATGAGACAATAGCCGCAGGGAAAGAATGTCCGCCAAGGACCACCTCACATATTGCACAAGGAGTACGATGTGGTAGTACTTCCAGGAGGTTGACAATGGCATCCATTTTTCATACTTTGGGCCATCGCCTCCCTGCAGCATCATTCTGATATTCGTATAAGTGTGGCGCAGGGTTCTCTGTGTGGTGGTGTGGTCATCAGGGTTGCTGAACGCGCCCTGGGCGCCCGCGGAGCTTTTGTAGGGAGAAAGTTAGTGACAATACTTGTAAGACGGATCTTACTCGATCTGATGCTCATCTGGCATCGACGCACAGCAGAGAGCAGAGCAACTTGCGCTCGTCCAGGTAGGCGTCGCCGCAATCAGTTGGCTGATTTGGGTCTCAGTTTTGACCGTTGTGCCCGTCGCATCGGGACACAATGACATCCAGTTGCTGGTGCTACGGAGAGCTTGAGAGCATAGGCCACATCCACATCCACATACAGCCGGGGCCACATTGTGATGCCGGAGGAGACGTCTGCATAACCCCTGCGTCCATCCCTGCCCACGTCCTTGGCAGTCCACCGGAACCCCTGCGGATTGGCCTCCTAGCGCAGGCGCTTGGCTGTTCCCCTGGTCCCCGGAGCCATCCAGCTAGGCCTTCTGTCACTTTGGCACCCTGGGCGAGGGACCTGGGTATCTGGTGATGCAGGCGGCAGCAGACATGTACTCTCTGCATCTAGGGGCGTGGATACGAGTTGACAGCCCACGCCTTGGAGGTGATGGAACAGACCAAGCAGCGAGTGATTGGTGGCAAGGCGGAACAGAACACGTTGGGTGGGTAGAACAAGTCCCAGTAGCTGCTCGAACATCTCTGCAGGACGGTTGGCGCCAGATGTGGCCCAATTCAATAACAGCAGCCTCCCCAGACGGCCGGCCGCGAGACGCCTGTCTACCTTTTCTCCCTCTCCTCTCTCTTTCCTCTCTGTACTCCAGCCTGTGCCTGGGACTTTTGCAACGGCAGCCTCTGTGAGCTTGGACCTGGACACCAAAATCTGTCGATAGGGGCGGGCCACGAAGAAAAAGAAGCAGCCGCCAATCGAGCGCCAGTCAGCCAGCCGCCGCCATCTGCGAACTATCAGTCAAGCGCCAAGCAGTAGCCTGCATACCTGTACGAGTATCACATCACGAAGCGAAGTGCAGTGCAGTGCAGAGTGCACAGTAGCACAGCCAGAAACGACGCACGACAACTGCGAGGCATCCGGCGTGGGAGGAGCAGAAAAGGGCTGCGGATCACAAAAAGCACTGGACGAGTCGAGTCGAGTCAAGTCCGGACGGAGTGACCGCTCTCGCTTCGCGCTCCAGGCCATTTCCCCCCTTCTCCGGGCAGCAAGCACGCTGTCAGCCCCCCCAAACCACCAAAACCCAGCGCCAGGGAGCTCCTGAACCAGCCAAGACTCCCCTGTTCGCGACTCGGATCGCCGCCGTGCATGTCGAGCGCATTCCGATTCCATCATCATCCATCCACTGAATCCAGCCGCCAGCACCAGAAGCCTCCTGCTCTGCCCACGAACCGCTCGACATCTCCGGCTTACGCGCCGCACCCGCTGCACGCGCCGACTCGAACCGCAGCCGATCGCAAGCAATTGATTGTTCTTCGTGTAAGTCCAGTCCGCTCCAGCGCCGGCCGTCAGCCCTGTCCGTCCTGCCGCTGTTCGCCTCCCCCTCATCCCCCATCAGCCCCCCCAGCCCGTCAGCCAGCCTCCGAGCACCAGCACGGGATAATTCCTGCGTAAGGCGGCGTCAAGATCGCGGAGTGGCCCTTGAGCTGCTGCCCGCCTCCGCCATTCCCGTCGCCATCGTGTGTTGTCACGGAAGCTGCCGGGCGAATGACTGTTGTTCATTCCTCGGCTCCGCCTCCCGCCTCCCACCACCTCCTTTCATTCCAGCCACGGCCCGGCACTGCTTCCCACAACATACTTGTGCCTGCAATTGTATCGAATCGACGATAGCTGACGCATCGTGGTATTGACCGATGACGCAGGCGATCAATCCATCAGACACGATACCAAGCCGGAACGCCAGATCTGGGGATCAGCAGGAGCAGCCCTCCGTGCTTGCTTACCTTACCTGGTACTTGTAGAGGCACTCTCCATATCCTCCCGCCATCATACTTCCAAGCCGTCGCAACCTGGGTTCCGCCACGACAACAGCAACAGCTCGACTGCCAATCCAGATAGCCGCCAAGTGCTACTCGGGTTCTTTGTTATTCTTGCCTCTTTTACGCAGTCGGCACGCCAAGAACCGCGACTCACAGACCAGCACCAGCAGCACCCTTTCTTTTGATCCCTCTGGTTTACTCGCCTTGCATAGCCCACCCAATCGCGCAAAACAAGACGACCACGACTGCTCCCCACCGTTGGATATCTACTGTGCTTTGCTCTGGGCCCGACATAGGTATCCCATTCGTATCTGATACTGTTTGCCCGGACCCGAACCCAAAGACTTGTCATCCGATGACCTGGAACGGCAACTAGCGTCCTTGGCCATCGCAATGCTGAGCGACAACCGCATGCGAGCGAGCCTGCAGGTGGCTCCCCTGGAGCTCACCAAAGCTCGGTCTGAAGAGACAAACAATGGCTCTTCTTCACACGATCGGGCCCCCAAAGGCGAATCAACCCTGGACAGTTCACATCTGCGCTCGCAGATGACACCGCCCGTTACGCCTCATGGCTCGCAAGAGGATCTCAGTCCCCGACCGGAATCTCATATACCACCCGTCTTCCACAACTTTCTCCGCGCCTTTTATCCCTTTCATCCGACTCTCGCAATGTCCGATTCAAGCGTCACTCTGCCACTGGATGAGGGAGACGTTGTTTTAGTGCACTCGATCCACACCAACGGCTGGGCAGATGGAACACTGTTGGCATCAGGCGCGAGAGGATGGCTTCCGACCAACTACTGCGAGGCGTACGAGCCCGAGGAAATGCGGAATCTCCTAAAAGCGTTGCTCAACTTTTGGGATCTGCTGCGGATCACGACCATTGACGAGGGACACATGTTTCAAAGCCAGGACTTTATGAAGGGCCTCATTGGTGGAGTGCGATATTTGTTGGCAAGTCCTCCCGCTACCTATTTGTTTGTGCCAATGTAGTTACTAACGTGCACCATGTAGGAGCGCACCCAGTGCTTAAACCGAGAGTCCATTCTCATTCAGCGGTGTGAAGCTCTACGAAGGTGCCGCAAATCGCTCCTTTCAGAGCTTTCTTCGCTCGTCAAGACGTCAAAGCAGCTCCAAGATCTCCAATTAGTGGCACTGGACTTCCCTGAAGAGATCAACGACGTCGTGGACACGATGATCTTGAAGGCATTCAAAATCATCACCAAGGGGGTTCGGTTTCTCGATGTCCTGGACGATGATAGGCGAGCTCACTCTTCTTCGCTCACAACTGAAACTTTGCCCCCAGTGATTGAGGAGACGTGCGTTCCTCCAACACCTCCCGCAGATAGGGCAGCATTTGGTGAGACGACATCAGCCGCTAGGGATGACCGTGCTTCCGCCAGCGCAGCTGCTGGAGACGCCGCTTCTCGTGCGTCCGGTGAGACCAACACCCTCGTTCGACCGGCGCAAAACAATCGCTGGAGCAGGCGATTGTCGTCCCTGAACGCGCAGGGTGGTCCTCATTCGCGGCCACACTCTCAAGCCAGCGTGAACCGCCTCTCCACGAACATGGCCCACAGGTTGTCGCTGGCTGGACCATCTCCGCTTTCTCGCCCTCATCACCTGGTATCTGAGCGTCTAAGCAAGAGTCATGACAAGTTTCTTTCGCATCTTGGCTCTTTCATTGGTCGTTTGCATTTGCAGTCTCAGTCACGACCTGAGCTTGCGACGGCCATCAAGCAATCCGCCCTTTCTGGTGGAGAACTCCTGGCAGTCGTGGATGCGGTTTGCTCGCAAAGCAGCTCCATGGTTGGCCCACTGGGATTGTCACGGGAGGCCTTGCTCGAGCGCATCCGGGACTTGGTGTTTGCTGCTCGAGACACTCTGGCGAATGCGGAGATAGAGGGAGCCGATATAATCCTGCCACAGGATAACACCATCATGCTCATGTCGGCGACAGGCTGTGTGAGAGCAGCTGGCGAATGCGTTGCCTTGACAAAGGGTGTGATCGAGAGAACAGGAGATTTCGAACTCGAGTCTGATGGCAATGCTCTTCAGTTAGACCTTAGCGTTCTGGACGCCACGGCGACAAGGTCAAGGACACCGTCGGTTGCAGAGAGATCCGACGTTGCCAGCATTGCCAGCTCCGCCCACACCACAGAGTCGAATAGCTCTTCCGCCAGGCGGCCAAGTGTAGTGGCACTTGACAAGCCTCTACCTCGTGTCCCCGAAAGCCAACCTGACGAAGAAACTACCCCCCAGGCCCAAACCCCCAAGACTTCTCGGCCTTCCTCGGTGGCGGAAGGAGCCGTATCTAGTCCAGCGTCCTCTGCTACATCAGTTGGCCGAACGCTCCCTCCCTTGCCCAGACTTACCACCACACCCATGCCCTACCAGAGTGCGGATGACGGCGGTTCAGCCCGTGGACAGGATCCCCATTCTTCCTTTGACAGCATGGCTGGCTCTAGTGCTGGCAGCAGCACAACCTACATGAGCAGGGATTCTGAAGTCAGCCTCGTCTCCCAGACCTCAACACGCGCCACTACCCCTGATCATACAATAGTTCCCCGGAGCCAACCTTCTATCTCTGAGTTGAGCTCTACAGGAACCCATGATGAGGACGCCGACGATGTCGAGTCCAAATTATTGATGAAGACCTATGCGCATGAGCTCGTTTTCAACAAAGAAGGCCAAGTGACGGGCGGCACACTGCCGGCATTAGTCGAACGCTTGACCACGCATGAGGCCACCCCTGATGCTACATTCGTCTCGACTTTCTATCTGACCTTTAGGCTTTTCTGCACGCCCGTACAGTTGACGGAGGCGCTCATCGACCGCTTCGAATACGCGGCGGAATCACCCAAGACCTCAAGCCCTGTCCGTCTGCGGGTATATAATGCCTTCAAGGGCTGGCTTGAGTCGCATTGGCGTGACCAGGCCGACCGTGATGCACTGAAGCTCATCATCCCCTTTGCAGAGGAGCGCCTCAACGCCGTCTTGCCCTCTGCTGGCACCCGGTTGCTGGAATTAGCGAATCGCGTATCTGGGGAGGGTGCGCTGGTGCCCCGGCTTGTGTCCTCCATGGGCAAGGCCAACACAGCCATCGGCCAATATGTGCCTGCAGAACTGCCGCTTCCCTCTCCCGTCATCTCAAAGGCCCAGCAGAACACGCTGCACTCCTTCAAGGCCGGCAACGCCTCACCAACCATACTCGACTTTGACCCACTGGAGCTCGCTCGTCAAATAACCATCAAGCAGATGAACATTTTCTGCTCCATCCTGCCCGAGGAGCTTTTGGCCTCTCAGTGGATGAAGAAGGGCGGAGTGGATGCCCCCAACGTCAAGGCCATGTCCTCCTTATCCACAGACTTGTCCAACATGGTTGCCGAGACGATACTTCATCATACTGAGCTCAAAAAGCGTGCGGCCGTCATTAAACAGTGGATCAAGATTGCACAGCAATTCCTGGAGCTACACAACTACGACGGCCTGATGGCCATTATCTGCACGCTTAACAGCAGCACCATCACTCGCCTGCGCAAGACTTGGGATGCGTTATCACAGAGGCGGAAGGACGCTCTCCGCAGCTTGCAGGAGATCGTGGAGCCATCGCAGAACAACAAAGTTCTTCGCACCAAGCTGCATGACCATGTCCCCCCTTGCCTGCCCTTCCTCGGCATGTATCTGACTGACTTGACTTTTGTGGACATTGGCAATCCGTCAACGAAGCAAGTATCGTTGGGCAGCGAATCTGAGGAAGACGGAGGAGGAGGCTTGACCGTTGTCAACTTTGACAAGCATACTCGGACAGCCAAGATTATCGGCGAGCTTCAGCGATTTCAGATCCCTTACCGGCTGACTGAGCTGCCTGATATGCAGGAATGGCTGTCCGCGCAGTTTCAGCTCATCCGCGAAGGAGACCACGGCAATGTCCAAGTGACATACTATAGAAAGAGTCTCCTGCTTGAGCCTCGCGAAACGGCAGCGAGACGGGACTCTGAAACGCCGGCTGGAGCTGCGACGTTATCAACTCCATCTACCCGAACAGATCTCTTTGGGTGGATGACGCGAAGTGGCCAGAGTTCCACACCAACACAACCTTGAAGGGATCAAGAGCTGCTGTCTCATAACTCTCTCTCGCCTGCCTCTTGATTTGTCAAATGAAATCTCGAAACCTCACATACCGGCCTATACGCACATATACATCGCTAACTACATTTGATTTCGATACCCTGTCATTGTTTCTGGTTATATTCTGTTTCATCCTGGAGCGCGGCACTCATCCTTGGAAGCTCTGATCAGCGTTACAACGCTTATTTATCTGGGCAAATGTTACACTTCCTCTGCGGTGGGAAGCTTCAGTCAACGAAGCCTTTATAATGCCATTAAGGGCTTTGTCCTGGATGATGACGTCTCTGGATGTGTGTTTTCTTTCACCTCAATGACGAGGATTGTTGAATATGGGAGAGTTGCGGGGAGGTGTCCTGCTTCACCCCTCTCAGTTCCTCTCGCTTCATGATGTAACTCTTTTTCTGTTTCTCTTGTTCTATTCGTGGGCGGGACGTGGTGGTGGTCTTGGAGTTGGCGACTTTGCTTTCATTTTCTTTAATCGGACGGACGGGGCGTTGGAACACAAAAGGGCTTACAACGGAACAAGTCCGACTGATTGAGATGATAATGATCTGTCCTTTTTCTGCGAGTTATTGGGAGATGTGCGAAACGCAAACATGTTGCGCGGTCATGGGAGGGCGTCATGATGGGATGAGGTGGGCTGCGGGCATGGACAGTTTTGCGTACATGGAGTTGAAATTTGTACCGGATGGCAAAATACACCATGGTAGAGTGAAGAGAAACGAAATTTGAATTCACCTTTGAAAACAAAGAGATCAACAAAGGGTTACTGTCGCGCGTAGTAGCCTCGACTCGCTACACGTCGGCGCTTAGAGCATGCATGTGTCAGGAGAAACAAGGCAAGTACTATCGCAATGAGATGGCGATGCACATGGATGTAACCCCGTACACGTGGCGGGCATGGCAGACGCATGGCATGTACAGGCAAGTTCATCTTGGAGATGGTGGGATGGAACATAGAGAGCCATGGAGGAAAAGACATCGGATGCTTGACCACATGTTTAGCCTTGCGCGAGTTGCCAGGCTTCTGGAGCACCTACTATCAGCTCCAGCCTCGGAAGCAGATGACAGGACGGAGGACGTACTCTGGTACTAGACTGGTGGACGCCGGGAGAAGGGAATCCAACGTGTGAGACGAGCCGATTGGGAGGAGGTTAGGAGGTTAGGTAACGTATTGGCTTGCTGGTGGGACCTGGGATTGTTGCTTCTTTGTTGTGAAAGGGCGGTTGGAAGTATGATAAGGACTTGGGAGGCGAGCGTGGTGATTTGGAGATAAGGTGAGGATACCAACAATTAGAACTACTGGAAATGAGATGAAGACGATAAACAAGGGCTGTAAAATGGCCCTATCGAATTGAAGTGTCTTGATTGCAAGGCTTGATGCTATAATGACGGCGTTCACGTTTACCACTATTGACAGCTGACGGGGAGTGGTGGCATTGATGTCTCAGTAGCTCGCGGAAGCTGAAGAAGAGAAGCTACCTAGGCAGTCGCTCCGTTTTACGTGTTGGGCCTGGAGACGGATGTAACATTTCTTCAAGAACAGGGAGCTACGGAGCAGATCAATGTGCTCAGATAAGTCGACGGCTACCGAGGACTCCGGCCGAACGCCTCGTCGTCGATCTGGGCCACCAAATGTACTGTACACACACACACACCGGATATCGTACTAATAAAGTGCATAGACAGGTAGCATTACTACTTGATCAGCCATGGGCCACACCACATGATAAGCGTGTCAAGCGGCTGCGTGTGTGTATAGACCTGGGTAGGTAGGTATGTAGGAAGGATCTGTTTTTGCTTGGCTCTCGGAGATGCACGCTGGGGATCCGGATGGTGGGTATTGACGGTTGGTCGGATTCTGGGACAGCTGGAATGATACTCGTAGATTGCTGCCCGAAATGAAGCAGAAAGACCCTTAAATTGGATGTGGAAGTCATGATGAGGCGTGTTGAGACATCAATACAATCTCATTGATGTGGTAGCAATGGCGAGTGGAGGGCTTCTTTCACGCTCTGCGGGAGAGGATACGCCATCAAGCTTGAATGACTCTCACACAGCTCCCGCTCCATACCACACAATGACAACAACTAATACTGCTCCAGCTTTCTCCGTACGAAATACATCGACACTGTCACCATGGGGAGAGCTGGGGCCCCGCGAAAGCATGGAGAGTGGAGAGGCCTGCAATCAACGGTTGGCGGCCCCAAGGCATTGGTTTGGTGGTGGTAGTTAGTACATGTAGCATAGACGAACGCTGTCACGGGCCAAGCTTGGCTGCGGCGATGCCCAACACGACGATGGACGAACTCTGTCTGCAGACCTGCCTGCGCTTGTATACCTGTAACAAGTGGCATGTCCTCCACTGCCATTGGCAGCCGCCGGCGAGCAGGGAACTTCTAGCGCTCGCTGACGGGCCCGAGCTGAGGTTTCCATTCTGATCGAGCCCATGCATAGCAGGCAAGATGGCAAAGATTCCACGTCGTCTTGAAATTACGGATCACCAAAGTCCTGGAGTAGATGCCCACACAAGTTAGTCAGCTGAGCCGAGCAAGGCTCCCCTCATCCCTGTGACTGGCTCCCGCTACGACGAACGTTTAAGCGTCGTTAGCATCCGAGGGACGAGGGAACGTTACATGAACGGTCTAGGCCCAACTCGGAGCATTTCTGAACAGATGCTATCAAATAAGATACGGGATCTCGTTTGCCCTTGTGCGTGTGGCTTGCTGGCAATGGCGCTCGGCTTCTTGCAGGCGGGTGACCTGTAGCGCCTGGGCAAGCGTCCTTGTGGCGGCGCCGGTGCGATCGAGAAGCGCCCGAGGAAGAAAAATCCGGAGGCTTTGGGGTAGACGGTGAATGGCAGAGGCTCTCGCGGATTTGGATTGTCTAGTGCGTACTCGTATGCGCATATTCCGGGCAGAGAGAATCCCGTAATAATTGTGGTGTTGTGTGTGCTGGGAATCACGGTTCGGTCGCTTACAAGGAGCAAGTCCTTGATAACCGAAGAAGAAGCGATTGCCCTGCAATGGCCCTTCGTCTCCCTCATGTGCTAACAGGCCCTTATCTATAGAGTACTGCAGTACTTGCCTTTTCCCATCTCCATGCCGAAGCGCGCCCCGCCGCGGACCTTTTACCCTCCTCAGGCGCACTTCTTCCACGGCACATCTTTGAGGATTCTGGACGACGGGCCACTGAGAGGAACAGACAGGGGTCGCGGGCCATGCAGCCGCCAACACGCTTCTGGGGGCGGTGGCGGACGCCTCGATCTGGGTCGGGGCTTCACAAGGGCCAACCAGCAGCCGGGGCCATTCGGGCCTTCACCCGCGAGCTGACAAGTTTCGCTTTGGCTCACGGCCAGGGGGAGGGGGATTCTCTGGCTGTGGGCAATCGCTTCCCCAGAACATTTGGCTATCAGTCAGTCAGTCTGTCAGTCTGATGACTTGAGCGCCCCCGGCCCGCTTATGATACTCTTACATGACATACTGTAGAAGAAGTGCGATACGAAATGCAGGATTCGATACGGGAGCGTGGCGTGCCCTGCGAAGAGGCGGGATGACATCTCGTTATCGACCACGGTCTCTTGGGGAGCAGCAGCCATGGACATGGCGACGAGCGGGTAGGTAGCTTGTCAGTATCTGGACCCTCAGCTGGGTGCAGACAATCCGAGCCCTGGACAATAACCACGAGACAACGCTCTTTGTTCAAGACAAGCACCATTATTCCAACTGAACTGCGACGCCACCAGAGCTGCCGATAGCCATGCCACCACACCCACAGACAATCAAGGAGGACGCCTCACGACGCTCCCTTGCTCGGGCCCTACCCCAAGAAGTGAAGGTCTGCCTGCCTTTGCTGCTAGAGCGTATTGGTCACAAGGGCGTCCATTCGCGGAATCACAACCTCACTGTAGGAAGGCAATATCAGAGACGACATGGGGTTGCATGACTGCTTGGCCAATGTATGGTGCCCACGCCTTGTCGAGCCAACGCAGGTGTCCAGTCTCAGTCAGGGAGGTGTCGAAAGGATGCCATCGCTATCAGCCTCCCGGGTTCGCCTCCCTGTGAGAGTTCTGCTCTTGCTGACACACCTCTTCAGGACTGCATCCTATTTGCCTACTGGCCTGCAATCAGCATGTCTCTCCTCTTGGCCATGCGAATCCTATCTACGGGTATTCTTTACATCTTTTCACGAGAGTCGACTCACTGCCATTCATCAAAGTCGCGTGCTGTTGCGGCGGCATAGCCGAGTGGCGCTACTCCACCTCACGGATCCTCGCTCATCAAAAAATAAAGCGTGGCGTGGCAAGACCCCGGTCGTCTGTTCTTATTTTCCCCTCTATTTTCTATCAATACATTCCTTTTTCGTCTTGTGACGGCCGACTCTTAATTTTTCCGCCTGAGATATGGAGTGGACATGGCCGCCTTGCTCGCCTTGTCTAGCCGTCGCTCCGCATCATGCCATCCGTCTGTCAGAAGAGCGTGTACGATACAAGTGCACACGAAGTCGGATGCCCTATCTTGATAGCACAGCATCTCGTTACACCTCAATTCCTTCCGAGGCCGGAGGGGAAAATAACAAGATGTCTATTCTTAGCAAGTGTCTCGTTATGTGTCGGTCAAACCACACACCACATGCCAGTCAATTCGCCGCCTCTCGTATCTGGCTGGCTCGCCGCTCCGTTGCTCTAGCAAAGGAAGCTTGTTGTTGCAACGGCTCGACGTCGTCTGGGTTAGCAATTACTAGGACAACGTTTTGCTGCCGGCTCTCGCCAAGGCATCCCGTTCCAGGCGCCGTTTTGCTATCTCGTCAACATCGTCCTGGGTCCAATCTTTGGATACATAACGAAGTGCTGCCACCGGCGTACAAAAAAGTACGAGCACTAGTCAGCGCCCTTCCCACATTCCCGATTGTCACGTAGCTTGTGATGCAACCTTTCTCTTATCCACCTCGTTACTGACCCAAGCGACCCCTGCTCATCCGGCCCGGGGCTCTCCAAGGTGGCATTAGCCAACCAGGCTCAAGCACCGCACGCTTTCGCGCATCTGGCCGCCTCTCTCTTGGCTGCTACCAACGCCCCGGGATCCACGTTGTATGCACTTGTGCATACGGCTCGATAGGTTACGGAAGCAAGCAAAGGAGGTACCGCGTTGCTCTCTCGCTGCCGGTGCCGCTACTTTAGCAGCCATCCGGCGTTGGTGGTTCTGACTCCTATTATCTCGTACCAGAGTACGGGGTACAGAGTACGGGTTGTACTCGCTCGCGCACACACACGCCAACACACACACCTCGATGCAGGGCCTGGTGTCCGTACGGTACCAGTACAGGAATCCTTTCTGCCCGTTACGACCTGAATGCTGCCGATTGTGGTGTGACCTGTGGCCCTTGATCCTCCCCCCCAGCTCGTCTCCGCACCAACCTAGCGCTCGCTGGCTATCCGTCCATCCACTTGGCAGCTAGTAATCGAAGGTGGTTTGCTCGACGGCTAGTTGAGCTACCTTGACTGCGCCTGTTCCATCCCCTGGAGCAATTGGGATGGGGTAGCCCTGCCGATACTACCCTCCAAGTGGTGGCCGTCAGATCTGCGCGACCTTCATATATCATCAGGGCCCCCGGATTCGATTCTGGCTCTCTCTCCTGCCCGAGCTTTCTTCTTCACTGTCCGCTCCCAATTGTCGCCTTTGTTCCACGGCCTCGGGTCTCTCTAGGTGGAACACGCGTGCGCAGCTCGCCAACAGACAGAGCGCTCAGTCTCTCCTCGTGAGCGTTCCCTCGACTGAGATCATCATCAGTGCGAGGCTTCGAATAGCCATTTCCACGATATCAATTGGGGAAGCAGAGCCAATCCTTCACCATGGCTGACGACGAAAAGCACGCCGCGGACCCTGCTCCGGAGGTCGCCCCCGTCGACTCCTACGCGGCCGCTCAGAACAGCCCCGAGTATGTTGATCGGCCCGCCGGCTGGATCTACAAGGGCCACCGCATCTTTGGCAAGGAAGTCTACTATGCCTCGCCCCGAGTCCAGCTGCTGCTGGTCGCCCTCGTGTGCTTCCTCTGCCCCGGCATGTACAACTCCCTGACCGGCCTGGGAGGTGGTGGTCAAGTCGACCCCACGGCTCAGGACCACGCCTCCGTCGCCCTGTACAGCACCTTTGCTGTTGTCGGTTTCTTCTCTGGTACCTTCGCCAACCGTCTCGGTCTCCGCCTCACTATTGGCATTGGTGGTCTCGGTTACTGCATCTACAGCGCCTCTTTCCTCAGCTACAACCACAACAAGAACATTGGCTTCGTCATCTTCGCCGGTGCCTTCCTCGGTGTCTGCGCCGGTCTGCTCTGGACCGCTCAGGGTGCTGTCATGATGTCTTACCCCCCTGAGGACAAGAAGGGTCGCTACATTTCCACCTTCTGGATCATTTTCAACCTTGGTGCCGTCATTGGATCTCTGGTGCGTTTGCTTTTTCTTGAGGCCCTTTTGATTCTCCCTTATTACTTACAACGTCCCTTGTGCTAACTTGTATGATGATAGATCCCTCTGGCCCAGAACATCCACAGCCACTCCGGCACTGTCAGCGATGGCACCTATGCTGCCTTCATCGTTCTCATGTTCCTTGGCTTGATCCTCTCATTCTTCCTGCTGGACGCCAACAAGGTCATTCGTGAGGATGGCACCAAGATCGTCCTGATGAAGAACCCTTCGTGGACTACCGAGTTCAAGGGCCTCTGGGAGACCATGTACAACGCCCCCTACGTCCTTCTCCTCTTCCCCATGTTCTTCGCCTCGAACATCTTCTACACCTACCAGAACAACGACATGAACGCCGCCGCTTTCAACATTCGCACTCGTGCTCTTAACAACCTGCTGTACTGGCTCGCTCAGATCATCGGTGCCGTCATCAACGGTTATGCTCTGGATTACTCCGGTGTTAGCCGCAGCGTCCGTGCCAAGGCTTCCTTCGTCTTCCTCTTCGTCCTCACCTTTGCCATCTGGGGCGGTGGATACGCCTGGCAGAAGATTCAGCCGAGCCGTGCCGTTGTCTCTGCGCCCGACTACGAGTCCCAGAAGATCGACTGGACGGATGGCGGCAAGCTCTTCATTGGCCCCATGTTCCTGTACTTCTTCTACGGCTTCTACGATGCTATCTGGCAGACCAACATCTACTGGTGGATGGGCTCACTGTCCAACTCTGGTCGCAAGGCCGCCAACATGGCTGGTAAGTTTTCTACTCTCTGCGAGGTTCTTGCACGACACATGTACTGACTACGGCGGCGATAGGTTTCTACAAGGCTTTCCAGTCTGCCGGTGCTGCCATCTTCTGGCGCCTGGATGCCCTCGGCACCTCTTACGACACCATGTTCGCCGCCACCTGGGGTGTCCTTGCCGGCTCCCTGGTGCTGGCTGCGCCCGTCGTTTTCTACAAGATCAAGGACCACGTCTCGATTGAGGAGGATCTGAAGTTCAGTGACGAGACAATCGAGGACGTCGTCGTTGGTGCCAACAAGGCTGTCGATGTTTAGACTTGTGGAGGAAGGGTGTTTAATGACTATTTGGTCGGGCGGAGAACCCGACTGGTTGATGATTGTGAAGCGTTTCCGAACGTTTGATGCTCCTGATTAAGATGATTTAATGCAAGGCTCCAAGCAAGCCTCCTATATTCCCGTATATTAAATTCAATACCAAAGGACATGTTGTTTCTGTGGAGCAGCTGAATCGCTTTTGTCGTGCTTCTGTGAACCTACTGTGTGTGACTGGAGACTGGGATGAGAATAGCACTTGATGAGGTGGAGATATTGTCGCCGTGGAGGCCGTGGTGTATGTACTATTGATGACAAAAGATGGTGATAATAGTATAACAGAAATGAAGGGATGCTTCGTACGTCTCGAGTAAATAGATGTTTTGAGCAAATCAGAGACACACCCAGAACACGAACCGTCTTGGCAATGTCTCTCAGTGGCTTCACGCCGCTCGAGAACCAGGCGCTTAACCGCCGCGCCTTGAGCGGCTAGGTGTGTAAGATCGGCTGCCTCCAGACTCACGTTCATCGAGATTACCTCACCGTCTCACCTGGTAGGACAGCAGCAGTGGCTACTAGCTGCCCCAAAGAAGCCGAACTGTACGAACTGAGACATTGCAAGCCTATGAAACTTACCTGAAGTTGAGCCTGTGGGTGGTACTTGGTTTGACCTTCGTAATCTCACTCACGTTGCTCACATTGGCGCCTGAGTGACTTACATAAGCCCGGGCGTCGTTTGTGCGCGGGTATTGATTGGACGAGAGCTCTCGACGTCTACAACAGTTTCTTGAGGTTCATTCATCATGAGATGATACATGGCTATGACAAGCTTCGTTCAGGGTCCAGGGAGTGGTTTGTACGCCGCGTGATGATGATATGCAGGAAGGAAAATGTCTCCGGAGTTGCAGCGTGAGTTTCGAATACGAAGCGCCTCTCGTGACGGGCTTGCTTGAGAGGCAACGCTCGGGATGATCTCGTGAGGCGATGTCGGACCTTTTGGTGAACTGGTGAGCGGTTACCGATTGTTGCCAAGCATCATGCAACGACCAGTCGACAGATCCCTCCCTACCGTACAGAAAGGCTGTGCTCGGAGATTTTATGGCATACTCGTAGCTGCGGGTACAGCGAGTACGTCATGATGCAGCGATGCCATCGTTGTTTCGTTTCACCCGACGGCGCTTCACCAGCTCCTACTCGGCGTTTGCCGACCAAGCGATTTTCCCGGCATCATCAGCTGCCGCGCCCAACAAACGGCGACCAAGCGGATCCGCAGCCACGGCATCTGGCAGATCCGGGGTTTGTCTTTTGCTCACGGGCGGTCTGAGGTCGTGCCTGATGCGGCACCATGCCTGGCTCTGACTGGCTGAGGCGCCCGACGACCGCGGCGCTTAGACAGGGTCTACAGGGCAGCAAGGGCTGCTAGAGCCTCTTCTCCTGTCGAATCGACGGCCTCCGGAGCGCTATTCTGAACCATACTCTATGGAATTGCTGGAGGCGTGAATGAGAGGCAAGGGAAGAGCGCATGTTTGCAACGGAAAACCGTGCGGTATGCGCTCGGCTTGATACCCTTGCTTGTCAAACTGCGTGTGTCATTTACTCACTTCTTGGGCCCTGGCAGTGGATTTGTTCTTATTGTCGTGCTTGCGCTGTTATTGTTCATGGCTACTTTGTCCTTCGCCATTCACTCTCTTCTCAGTTGTCTTTCAATCACGATGCATGAATAGATATTTCTTTTCCTTCTGTTCAGTCTCCTTTGTCTCTCTTTCCTTTTGGTATCATCTTTGCTTTTCTAAGGGGTTCATCTACGGTTTTTCTCTTCTTCTCTAGATTTCATTCCCGCAGTCCTTCTACTATCTGCTTCTTTACATCTACAACGGCCGGCCGTCACGAATATCTCGACACTCATTACATCTTCCGACGTCACTTATAACTTCTTTCGCTGCATCTGCTGTTCCGAAGATACATTCATTCATAATGTCTTTCCCTCGCACGGGCGATAATCCGCCACGATTTCCTCATGTTCCGGACTCTCTCCGAATCGATGCCTTCGTTCCATCAATAGCCGAACGGATCATAGAGCCGCGCGCAGACACGGCTCCCTACATCACTCCGTACCTCAGTCTCCGCTCCCGGCTCTCGCAAGTATGGATCAACCGGTGGACTGTCCTCATAGTCCTCGTCCTTGTCCGCACCATCATCCTGACGGCCCAGCTACACGACAACCTCGTGTCTGCGGAGGCACAGGCTCTCTCTGCCTGCACCAAAGTCGAAGACGTGGGCAGCGCAATGGCTTCCATGCCCCATTATCTGTCTTCCGGGGTCAATGAGCTGGTTGCCATGGGCGTCGAAAAGACGGTTCACGGCATGGTGGAGATTCTCGACCTTGTGATTAGCGGCGTCGAGGGCATCATCATCTTCTACATCAATTTCCTGGCAGCCACATATACCTGCCTTATCACGGCCATGATACACGGGACTCTCGATGCGATTGGCAATGTTACCGAAGACGCAACAAAGGCGTACAACAAGCTGGTCAACGGCACTGTCGACGATATTAAGAAGATCGCCACTGTCTTGCAGAAGGGTATCGCCAACCTCACGTCGGATATTGAGGACTCGGTCTTTGGCAGCGTGCTCTCCAAGATTCCCAAAGTCAACTTCACGAAACCCATCGAAGAGCTGAGAGACTTTCAAATAAACACGACCGACTTTGTCGGCGGCGTGCAGAAGCTCAACGATGATCTACCCACCTTCGAAGAGGTCCAGAACGTGACGGAATCCGTCATCGCGTTCCCCTTCAACAAGCTACGCGAAGCTCTGGACGAAAAGTATGGAAAATACGAATTCAACAGGAGCACCTTTCCCCTTGCTGAAAAGCAGGTGATGACGTTCTGCTCCGACAACGACTCGCTGAACAACTTCTTTGACGGGCTGTTCAAGCTTGTGGCCAAGGCTCGCACGGTCTTCATCGTCGTCTTCACCCTGGCGGCGGTGGGCGCCATGGTCCCCATGGCATGGCTGGAGATTCGTCGATGGCGGCGACAGAGGGAGCACGGCAAGCTTGTCAACGACAGCCAGCGCGACCCCATGGACGTCGTCTACACGGTCTCTCGGCCTTTCACTGCCGGATGGGGCATTCAATTTACCAGCAAGATGAGTGGGAGCAAGCAGATTCTCGTCCGCTGGTGCATCGCATACGCCACTACGCCGGCTGCCTTGTTCGTCCTTTCGCTCGCCCTCTCCGGCTTCTTTGCGTGCATATGCCAGTTCATCCTTCTCAAGGCCGTCGAGCAGAAGACGCCTGCACTGAGCCAGGAGGTCGGCGCATTTGCGGATCACGTGGTGGCAAGCCTACAGAACGTCTCTGATTCCTGGGCACATGATGCCAACGATGTCATCATAGGACTCAACGACGAGATCAACGGTGATCTCCTCGACTATGTCAGCAACGCAACAGGGGCTGTCAACGACACAATCAACACCTTTATGGACGCGATGGAAGACGGTCTGAATGCTGCCCTCAATGGTACCTTTCTCTTGGGGCCGGTCAAGTCGATTCTCCACTGTGTCATTGGTCTCAAAGTTGAGAGCGTTCAAAAGGGGCTCACATGGGTGCACGACCACGCCCACGTTGAATTGCCTCTCTTCCCGAACGATACCTTCAGCGCGGGAGCCAACAGCTCTGTGGCTGGAGACTCAGACCTTGGCAGCTTCCTGGCCTCTCCTTCATCCGCCTCGAGCGACGAGATAAGCGGAGCTGTCGAGCATGTTACGGGCTGGCTTCACCACGACCTGGTGCAGGAAGCCCTCATCTCCACGGGCCTCTTGCTCGTCTACGTGATTGTTGTCTTGATTGGGGTGATAAGGACACTTGTGGGCATGTCTGGGCAGGACCGTGGCCGTGCTGAAGGCGGCATCCGCTACCCAACAACACAAGATGGCACGCAGTTTGAGTCGCCTGCTGAGCGCTCATGGTCACAAGAGCCGCCGCCTCCTTGGGCGCCGTCGGTTTCGTCGAGCAGGAGCTCGGTGGGAAGCGGGAATGGCGAAAAGTTCATCTACGGGGCGAGTCCAACGAAGCCGAACATGAGGAGCAACAATCCGTATGATCGCTTCGACGAAAAGACGGGGTTCTGATGTAGTTGGCTCAGTTCAGGGGCGGGAGGCTAAGAGAAACGTGGCTTGGGGGGAGGACGTTGGATTGGCAAAGAGAGGCAAGGCAGGGACACGGTTCCTGGAGTGATGTTAATAGCTCATGCTCGAGCTGGCTCGGCGGGGTGAAAAAAGGGACAAATATTGGGAAAATGGCACAAGGTTTCAGGGGCCATGGGAGGTCGGCGTCAGGGTACCTATTCGAAGCATCTTGGTTTTGATTTTTGGCTTGATCAAGACTTGCTTCGTCTTATTTGCATCAAAAACCGCATTCATGGAATTCCACCTTCCATCTAGAGAGCAGCACAGTTGCGAAACAAACCTAAACAAGCACTTCCGTATTGAACTTGTCCAGAATGTGATTTGAATAGCCGCATCACCAGCCCTTTTTGACTCACAACATCCATGGCTTTCAAACTAGTAGTCATTGACAATGCGGAACGGCGAAAGAGGCGTTTCTGGTGGCGACGCTGTCAGATCGGGAGGCATTGTGTATGGGGTACCGGCAGTACTGCAGCTAGTATGGCGTCCCGCACGCAAAAATCAGGCATCGTTCACGGCGTAATTACATCTTGTTCTTCCCCGGAGTAGCACGCACGTACGCGTCTGCATTGCATGACATTGCATGTAAGTTACAAGAATATCCGGAGTGGGTATGCAAGTATGTAAGAAGTCAAGAAGTGCCAAAGTCGCATGGGAAACGGAATCTCGCTGATGCTGCCGCTGTTGCTGCAGGGTATTACCGCATTGGGCAAGTCCGTCATGGCGGGGCCCAACCATGCGCCTGCAGGCTGCGGGAGGCGGGGCTTTTCATGCAGGTGCAGCATTTTCTGGGTGCAGGAAGCAACTGCCCACTGAAGAGGCGAAAATGCAAAATGCAAGGCAGGTGCAGCAGTGGATGGAATGGAGGGGCGGACCGCATTTCTTCCGGGATCGGGGCGGCGGCGGCGACGACAGTCAGATTTGTCTTGGTCTCTTCTAATAAATAAGTTAAGAGAGGAACTTCCCCCCCGCCGTCACCAGCTTCTTATTGTTTGTTCCATTGAAAGGCCAATTGCGATATACCTTTGACGAACGGGCAAGAACAAGGCTTTTCTGTAAATTGGGACTTTTTGACCGTCATCATGGAGGCTATCAAGCAGACTTTTCAGCGCTGCAAGGCGCAGGGCAGAGTGAGTATGAACCACGGGATGGCGGGGTAGCAATTCTGGAGGGACAAGAGACGATGATGGGGATGACGATTGCTGACCTTGGGTTGGTTTGCTCTTGTATAGCCGGCGCTGGTCACGTATGTGACTGCGGGATACCCTCGACCGGAAGACACGCCCGGCATCCTGCTGGCCATGGAGAGGGGAGGAGCTGGTGAGTGGTTCTCCCTTGACGATGGAAATTGTCGCTGGGGAGACTGCTGATAGCTAATTTGTGTGGTCGATCGCAGATGTCATCGAACTCGGTGCTCCCTTCACAGATCCCATTGCTGACGGACCGACCATTCAAACGGCAAACACGGTACGAGAGAAAGCCTACACCTCACAAGACATTGAACCCTCGACGCAGATTCTAACTGGGATGCCTCACAGATTGCTCTCAAGAACGGCGTCAGCATCGAGTCGACCCTCGGCATGGTCAAGGAGGCCAGGTCCCGCGGCCTCAAGGCTCCCGTCATGCTCATGGGCTACTACAACCCCCTGCTCAGCTACGGCGAGGAGCGCCTGCTCAAGGACTGCAAGGAGGCCAACGTCAATGGCTTCATTGTCGTCGACCTGCCCCCGGAGGAAGCCGTGTCCTTCCGCAAGCTCTGCACCAAGGGCAGTCTCTCATATGTCCCCCTGATTGCTCCGGCGACTTCAGATACTCGCATGCGAATCCTCTGCCAGCTGGCGGACTCGTTCATCTACGTCGTCTCAAGACAGGGCGTCACCGGCGCTCTGGGCCACCTCAGCAGCCATCTCCCCGATCTCCTCGCCCGAGTCAAGAAGTACAGCGGAAACAAGCCGGCCGCTGTCGGCTTCGGTGTCAGCACACACGAGCACTTCCAGAGCGTTGCCGCCATCGCCGACGGTGTCGTCGTCGGCAGTCAGATCATCACCACCATCCAGAAGGCCCCCTCTGGCCAGCACGAGGCCGAGGTCGAGAACTACTGCGCATATCTGTGCGGTCGCGATGCTCGACCCGTTTTCAAGGATGAAGTTGGTCTGATTCAGGATGCTCCTGGCAACCAGGGCGCCACCGCGGAGTCCGTCTCTGTCGAAGCCGTCGTTACCGACGATGATCGCATCACGGCAGAGCAGGACAGCGCTTTGGTGGCTCAGCTGGCTGCTCTTCACGGCAAGATCCCTGAGCGATTTGGAGAGTTTGGCGGCCAGTACGTCCCGGAGAGTTTGATGGACTGCTTGTCCGAGCTTGAGGAGGGCTTCAACAAGATCAAGGACGACCCCTCGTTCTGGGAGGAGTACCGATCGTACTACGACTACATGGGACGGCCTTCTCGTCTGCACTTGGCCGAGCGCCTTACGGAGCACTGTGGCGGTGCCAACATCTGGCTCAAGCGAGAGGACTTGAACCACACTGGTAGCCACAAGATCAACAACGCCCTCGGACAGCTGCTTTTGGCCAAGCGTCTTGGAAAGACCAAGATCATTGCCGAGACGGGAGCCGGCCAGCACGGTGTGGCCACTGCGACTGTGTGTGCCAAGTTTGGCATGGAGTGCACAGTCTACATGGGAGCTGTAAGATGGACCGCCCCTTTGTTTACCTAAGAGAATGAGCTACTGACACCCTTGAACAGGAGGATGTCCGTCGACAGGCCCTCAACGTCTTCCGAATGAGGCTGCTCGGTGCCAAGGTTGTGGCTGTCGAGGCTGGCAGCAAGACTCTGCGTGATGCTGTCAACGAGGCTCTCCGCGCCTGGGTCGTTGACCTCGACACCACTCACTACATTATCGGATCCGCCATCGGACCTCACCCCTATCCCACCATTGTGAGGACTTTCCAGTCCGTCATTGGTGACGAGACGAAGAAGCAGATGCAGGAGATGCGAGGCAAGCTCCCCGATGCCGTCGTTGCCTGCGTCGGTGGTGGCAGCAACGCTGTCGGCATGTTCTACCCCTTTGCCAACGACCATTCGGTCAAGCTTCTGGGTGTCGAAGCCGGCGGTGACGGTGTCGACACGGCCAGGCATAGCGCTACCCTGACGGGCGGATCAAAGGGTGTCCTCCACGGAGTCCGAACATACGTTCTCCAGGACAAGAACGGCCAGATTATCGAGACGCACTCCGTCTCCGCCGGTCTGGACTACCCCGGTGTCGGACCCGAGCTGAGCTCGTGGAAGGACGCCGAGCGAGCCAAGTTCATCGCCGCCACTGACGCCGAGGCGCTGACTGGCTTTAGGCTGCTCAGCCAGCTGGAGGGTATCATCCCTGCGCTGGAGTCGTCTCACGGAATCTACGGAGCCATGGAGCTGGCCAAGACGATGAGCAAGGACGAGGACCTGGTCATCTGCCTCAGCGGCAGAGGAGACAAGGACGTGCAGAGCGTGGCGGAGGAGTTGCCCAGGCTTGGCCCCATGATTGGCTGGGACCTTCGATTTTAGATGCAAAAAAAAGTTAGGTTTATATAGGGTCTTTGTGCGAAGAGGGTATTTCTTTGGCATTGAGGTTGGTGATGGCGTAAAAAAGCCTTTTTGCAGGTGTGCGCTCAGGATAAGGATATCAGGCGTTTTGACGATGCAATTTTTGTTCTCTACGCTCTCTTGCCTCTACTCTCCGCCCTCTTTGATGTGACTGCTTGCTGTGTACGGGATGGCGGGGTTTATTCTTACATGATGAGTTACATACGTACAATGATATACAGAAAAAAAGAATGACTAGAAAAAGTTCTGGAGAGTCGTTACTTCGCGGCGCCTTTCTTTATTTTTTTTTTACACTTTGGGCTCTCTTGATCTCGCCTCTTCCTCGGCCCTATCCAGCTCTCGCAACAGAAGCTCCTCATCCTCATCGGATAGCTCCTGGATGCCCTCGAGATCCGCCAAGTCCTCATCACCCAGCACAAAGGTGTGATCAAGCGCAGCCCTCATCTCGGCCAGCGTCGCCTGGCTCCTCAAGCTCAACGGGCCGGGCGTGGCGTAGTCGAGCGCATACTGAATGACATCGTCCCTGTCCTCGACCTCGCGGGGCTCGAGCCCGAGGGCGACCCTCTCGTCGTTGAACTTTTGCTGCACGGCGCGGCTCTGCATGAGCAGCCAGCGCAGGTTCCAGCCGCCGGGCCCCAGCTCCTTGAGGCGCGCGGGCTTGCTCTTGAGCAGGTAGCTCTCGAGGCCGCCCTCGCGGCGGATGGTCTTGAGGACGCGCAGGGTGAGGCGGGTCTTGACGCGGGCGCCCAGGGAGGGCATGGGGAACGTCTTGACGTGGACGTTGGGGCGCCAGAAGCGGCGCGACTTGTTGTTGTGCTTGGGGGCGACGTTGTTGCCGAAGCGGATGCGGGCGGCGCCGTAGAGGCCCGCGTTGGACTGCTTGTAGATGCGGCGCTCGCCGTAGGGGTAGGGGGGGATGAGGTCGCTGGGGAGGCGGTGCGGCTTGACGGTTTTTGTTGGGCGGGGGCTCGTGGTCGAGAAGGTGCGGGCGACAGTTGTCGTTGATGATGATGATGGTATTGAAGGCTGCATGATCTGGGAGAGGGATCGGAGCGAGGGGCGGGTTGAGGCGAGGAGCGAGGGCGATCGTGAGGCCGAGGCCGCGAGGGCCGTGAACGAGGGCAGTGCGGGCGCCATGGCGGTCTGTTTGCTCGTTACTGTCGGGATGAAAATGTCGAGACAAGTAGAGAGATGCTCAGTGACCTTATGGCAAGACCATTGAAGGGGCGTTGGAGCAAGGCTATGAGCTCAATTGAGGTTGATGCCCCTCGATCCCACCAGCTTTCTGGAGAATTTTGGTATGGCCTGTTTGGAGTTGCGCACAATCTGATGAGAGCGCGCATCATCTATATGATCCGGCTCCGATGGCGGGACACCCGGGCACGTACTGAATACTTACAGTACGAGTGTCGACGGTCACGAGACCCCGCGGTGCTTTCGCGCGCTGGTGGTAAGGCTGAGAAGCAGAGCTGTCAGTTGCACTAAAAATGAACCCCTTGGTTTGGGCACTCCTTTGGTTTTACTACCCCACGTTCATGCAGTTGGGCTTCTTTCGCTGGGGGGAATGGGTTGAAACAGCCGCAAGGCATGGTGCTTTGTCAATCGAGCTTTTTCGTCTCTTTTCCCCCATGTTCATTGTGCTTTCAGGTTGATGATTGACCGAAACTGAAATACTTCTGCTCCCGAACCGGGGGCTGTGGAGAGAGAGAGAGAGAGCCATGTTTCCTCCCGTTGAGCAAAAGATGCTGCAGAGCAACCCGGACTTTGCCAAGCTCTATCGGGTCATCACCACGGCCATTCTGAACCCGGATGGCTCGACGAGAGAGGATGCCGAGGCCAAGGATCGAGCCGCGGTGCAAAAGGTGAGAACTTGGTTCCAACTTACACCTCCTCCGTTATGGATTGTCCAAAATTGACAAGTTGCCATTCCCCTTTTTCCCAGGGCCTGGACAAGCATCGCCACAAGGCAGCAAGGCACTACCTCCTAGAGCGCGCCATCGCAACCGCCACGCCTCCCGAGCCGAAGTCCTCGTCATCGTCGTCGTCGTCGGCATCCACACGCCTCTCACGAGCCAGCGAGCGTCTCCAGCAGCGCCAAGCCCAGTCCTCGGCCGAGGCCACGCCAGAAGCCCTCCTCGACCTCCTCCTCATCCTCCCGCCCTTCCTCGACGCCGTGGACGCGCTCCCCGCCGACTCCCTCGCCCTCCTGCTGTCCAGCCCGCCGCTCTCCGACTTCGAAGCCCTCCTGCCCGACCTCGCCGACCTGGTCGCGTCCGGCCTGCACGCCTCCGCCCTCGGGCTCGCCCGCCTCGCCCACCCGGCCGTGAACCCGTCCTACCTCCACCGCCACGTCGCCTCCCTGCCCAAGGACTTTGCGGCGCTCAACGCGAGCCTGGCCGCCGCCGAGGAGAACCTGAAAGCGGCCCGCATACGCACCGTCGCGTCCCTGACCAACCTGCTCCGGATCCTGTCCGAGTGCCTCACCTGCCTCGTGCGCTCCCTCGAGGCCAAGCACGGCGTCATCGCCCGCAGCCTCGAGCTCCGCGCCTCCGACGTCTCGCTCGAGGCGCAGCGCGCCGAGAAGCAGGCCGAGCAGGCCATGTGGAGGCTCAGGAAGGAGGTGTACACGCCCGAGAGCACGGCCGCGCTGCAGCGCTACGTGGCCCACCTCAGGGATGCGAATGCGCGGATTGAGGCGAGGGCGCGCAAGTTGCAGGCTGATCTCGATGCGCACGATGGGCATTACACCCAGGGTCACGACGCGGTGCATGATGATGATGAAAGGGGGAGAAGAGCATCGAGAGACGCTGGCGTGGCGTACGCCGACGATGCGCACAGGGATATGGACCGATTACGACTTTCATGATTTGCAATGTGAAGGCATGACCATCGTTTGTTTGACTCGTACATTTAGCGCGCATTATCATTCTTTTTTTTTTTTGGTCTTTTTGCCCAAGAGCATGACACGTCGCATAGGCATAAGGGCACAATACATCGTTAGGGACGTTGCTTCATCATATTGTTACATCGACTATTACAAAACAGTGATCTGGAAACTAATCAACAACGCCGGGATTTCTTTGTATTCTTGGCCCCTATATCCTGGGTTTTGAAAGAGCACCTCTCGCTTTTGATGAAACGATTCGCGATAGTGTATAAAACTCCGTTTTATTTTTTTCTGTTCCATCCTCACCATCTAGTGTACATCTCGGGGTCGCTCTCTCTTTAGCCCTTGACCTTGTAGATGGCCTCGGCCAGACGGCCAACGTTGGAGCTGGTGATGCCGGCAACGGAGATGCGGCCGTCCTTGGTGGCGTAGACGGAGTACTCCTTGGCCAGCTTCTCCATCTCCTCGGCGTTGAGGCCGGTGTAGGCGAACATGCCGATCTGGCTGGTGATGTGCGACCAGTCGTGCTTGGAGCCGAGCTTCTCGAGGTTCTCCTTGAGCAGGGCGCGCATGGTGATGATGCGGTCGGCCATCTCCTTGACCTCGCCGAGCCACTGGTTGTACAGCTTGGGGTTGCTCAGGACCTCCGACGCGATGCGGGCGCCGTGGATGGGAGGGTTGGAGTACAGGGGTCGGATGAGGATCTTGAGCTGGGACTCGACACGCTTCTTCTCATCGGCGTCGGCAGTCGTCAGGGAGAAGGCGCCAACACGCTCTCCGTAGAGACCCTGGTCAACCGATTAGCTTTCCATTTTCCTCATAGCATTCGTGCGATGGACATCATAGTAGCCCCGTTTAGTGATGATGAGTCTATCTTTGCTTACCATGTTCTTGGCGAACGACTGGCACAGAGCAATGTCGTGGCCCTGCTCGACAAAGTATCGAACGGCAAAGGCGTCCCTGTCAGTATCACCAGAGGCGAATCCCTGGTAGGCCATGTCGAAGAAGGCAAAGTGGTTCTGCTCCTTGACGACCTTGGAGATCTCCTTCCACTGCTCGGGGGTGGGGTCGACGCCGGTAGGGTTGTGGGCGCAGGCGTGGAACAGGAAGACACTGCCCAGGGGGGCCGCCTTGAGGTCGGCGATCAGGCCCTCAAAGTCGAGGCCGATGGTGTCCTTGTTGTAGTAGCGGTAGGTCTCGACCTTGAGGCCGGCGTCGCTGAAGACGGCCTTGTGGTTGGCCCATGACGGGTTGGGGATGAAGATCTTCTTGTCGCCCGAGTAGAAGCGCTGGAAGAAGGCAGCGCCGAGACGCAGAGCACCGGTGCCGGAGATGGTCTGGGTAATGGCAACACGGTCGAGAACGTCCTGGTTGGGTCCGTACGCCAGCTTGGCAGCCAGAGGCGGGAACTCGGGGACACCGGTGATGCCGGCGTACTCCTTGTTCAGCTTGGCGTCGACAATCTTCCTCTCGGCCTCGCGAACCGAGGGCAGGACGTAAGGCTTGCCAGCATCGTCACGGTATGCGCCAACACCTATAAGTGGACAAGTATCATGTTTTAGTCGACGTTGCTGCACATCAGAGGGGACCCGGAGGGTGTGATGTCGGATCTAGAAAGCTGCTGACGACGCGAAGGGGCACCGTACCGAGGTTGATCTTCTGCTCGAACTTGTCGGCCTTGAAAGCTTCGGTAATGCCTGAAAGAAAGAGGAAGAGTCAGCCGGCCAGGAACGCAACGCAAGATTGGGTTTGCCACATATGCGGCAGATGTCAGAGAAGATCAGCCGTACCAAGAATAGCCTATGAGCATTTCGAACAAGAACCTTGTTAGCTAATCCGGTGCAATTGATGTATAGAGGAATCATCGATATCTCGGGTGGATATTTGGCGTCTTTGTATATCCATCTGTATCGGTCGACGGTTATGGCCGGGTTTCTCAGCCAATCGATCAACTTACATCCTATATCCGGTGGTCAGTTACGGTTCAACGCAAGCAACGCCGGCACTATTGCCAACTCACAGGAGGGCCTTGGGGGACGTTGATCCAAGTAGACAAGGCAGCACGGCTGGTGAGCCTCAGCGTCGCAGGGCGCAGGACGGCTCGCCTGCTGGCAACTCGAAGAGCGGACAGCATGGTTTCGGGAGGAATCGGAGGCGGGGGTTTGACGGAGGGGGGAGAGAGGGCAAACGGCCTGCTAAGGAAGCGGGATAAGAGATGTTATAGCGGGCAATTGAGTGTCCCAAAAAGTGCTGAGGCTCGTCAAGCTGCTCAGTCGAGGTGAGGCCAAGGAGGTGATGGTAGTCAGACTGGAAGATCAGGTACAGTCAGACTTCGGAGGTGGTTCGATGTCGCTGGGCTGCTGAGCAAAATTCTGGTGGGTCGCCTGGCTGGTGTTGGTTTAGTGAGCTCGGAGCAAAAGGCACCGCTAGGTGGAAACGGGGAAAAAGACAAGGAGGGAATAAAATGACTGCTTTATTTTTCTCTATGTAGTCTAGTACTATTACCCAGGTATCTATTACAATAGCTGCATTCTTGTCAGGATGCCCTTTCGAGACTGTGATTTACTAAGATACTGCAGTGGTCTATAAGACATTGGATAGCATCGCTAATGGTAGCTTCTTTATGTATCAAGCTTGATATCGAGGATTCCCCTGACCAAAAGCTCGCCATTTGTCGCAAAAATTGTGCGGGGAAGACTCGGAGAAGACTCGACCTACACAGCTACAGTCCGCTCCGACATGCCTCCGAGAAGAGCTGCAACTTCAAATGCCCGGCACTGCGGGCAAATATATCGCCGGCTGGGTTTAGGCGTGAACTCGAGTGATGGGATATCGCTGCAAGATATAGACCACCGACTACCTAATGCGGGAGTGATGAGTGATTGTTCTCCAAAGTGGTTATTGTGGCTACTGGCTGCTAGACCTGTAGATTTGAAGACCTATAAGGTTGGGTCGGTAGACAGTATGTAGGTGCTGTCTCGTTCTGAATCTCGCTGGTTGTTTCAAGGGGAAATAGAGTGCTTATAGATGTGGCCTCTGGGTATTACCTGCCTCCCAGTTCATAAGAGGTACCTTAATTTGGCGTGGAAGCGATTGCGAGAAGATCTCGTCAGTTGAGTAATTGCCTTCCCTCTTTCCTTAGCTTAAGAGAGACAAAGTTGGCGTAGCCATCAGTCCTACAACCCGTAGTCTGTACTCAATTCTGCCGTCACATCATCGGCTCTCAAACTCTGGTTCCTCGGCCAAACGCCAAACAGATTCCGCATCATGGGGTTTTCGAGCCATTGCCAGCTATATCCGACTAGCGACAAGGTTGGGGGAAACAAGCTTTTTAAGCTCATGGATGCCGCCAACGTGCTTCTTCAACAGCAGCCGCAAGCCCCAAGATGAAGGCATCACCAGGCAGGCCACAGATACCCCTTTGAGCCATATCGATATGGAAATATGGATTCCCTCTGCCTGTCTCCATGGAAGACCAGGAAAATTACCGAAACAGGAAAATCACCGGCGAGACCAGCAGAGTTGGCCTCTTCGATTTTCTCCCCTCTCGGCTAGCGCCGCCGAAGAATTGGTGGGCCAGCGACGATTTTTGCTGTGGCCGGCCCACGACACCAAAAGGGCGCTCGCCTGGGCATCGCCAGAACAGCCGCAACCTCCAAGGGCCCCCCGATCCGACAGACGCAAGCTGCGCAGATTCCTGGCAGGGCAGGCTTGGATGGGTCAGAGCTGTCAAGCGGCCGCATCTAGCGCTTCCCCCGCATCGCGACATCTCAGATTCTACCCCGTGGGGATGCGGGAGATGTGACGACAGCTGGTGCCGACGGGTTGCTGGTGTACCTCGTACGTACTGTAGAATCGCGGCGCCTGTTATTGGCCCGGCGGTTTCGAGGCCACGGTTCGTCAGCCTTGCTGCAGAGCTGCTGTCTCTAATACTACTACTACTACTGATCCTGCCGAGTGCGACCTCCCATGACTTGCAGATGCTGTTGGTGCTACATGTCTCATCCGCCGTGGGGGGAAACAAGAGATTGCTCGGATCCGGCGTCTACTTCCCACGGCGTCCATGAGTTGCTCTGTGATAGCTGTACATACTTCTACAGACCTCATTCTCGTCGGCAGTTTCACCGTATGCATTTGCATATCTCGTCGGGACAAAGATTAGTCACGGCTATCCATCTACATATGCTGAGGCCAGTCCGTCTCCAAGCAGCCCCTGTCAGAATCAACTGCCTCTGGGCACCTTGCTCCGGCCTGGATACCAAGGCTCAAGCGGGCGTTGGGACTGGGACACCTTTTTCCCTGCAGAAATTTCTACAGCTCCTGCAAGTGATGGATACCGAGAAACATCAACCAACGACCACAACCAACAGCGTCAGACAAAAAACCCACAAGCGGTGACCCCCCAGGACCAAGACCAGGGGAAATAGAATGGCGTGGAAAGCAGAACCGAAACCAGAAGCAAAAAGCCTCGTCTGAACCCAGTCGATAGCACATTTTGCCCCATCGCCGTTATGCTGCTACTTTGCCGGACTGAGGCTAGACCAGGTCGCGTGTTCCTAGAACCTAGAGCCTAAGCAGCTTCTCCTGCGGGCTCCTCCGCCGCCAACGAGCCACTCCCGGCCTTGCAATTTGCTAATTCCTAGTGTCACCAAAGGAAGAATGTGGTGAGCTAGACAAAAAGTTTTTTTCCCGCCTTCTTTTTGTCGTATCCTGTGAGGATGGACAGCGGCGAGCGTGTCGAGAGAGGAGAAGGAAGCGATTGACAAGTAGTCACCATCACAATCGTTCATTCGTTTCGCCTTCTGTGTGCGATTGCTGCAATACATAATAATACATACGATAATGACCGATTCGTTCAAAGCCCACTTCGGTCAAGGCTCCAGAGAAACGGGCTCGCTCCATTGGATCGACACCACAGCGCTCGGCTTAGCTCGACCCGCGGCCATCGAACCGACCCTGGCCTTGCA